TTGATATACGAGACATCAAAGCATTCTTGCAGTCAAGTCAATCTATTTTTCGTTCAGGGGGGGGGGGGGGATCGTAACTACTTCAAAATATACTTTTCTTCGTTTCGTGAAAATTATCGATAATGCCGGATAGCCCCTTCTGGACATTTCAGAGTTACAGACCATTCCAAGTTACAGGCAGTGTCTGGTCTGGGACCGCCCGGAAAAGAGAGATACAATGTATGAGTATGAAGTCGGCATGGAAACAAGCTTCAAATCTAAAAGAAATCAATAGTTAGGATTCAGCAAATTGAAAGAACCCATATAATTAGATACCGTAATTTCCGGAGTGTTAGCCGCACATAGGTCTAAGCCGCACCCCCCGCCCCTCCCCCGTCGGGTCCAACATTGGTAGTTTTGTTGACATTCGGTATAAAAGCCGCACGTCAGACTGATTCTGTGTTTACATGAGAGTTTCCAACCCGGGTCGAGTTCAGCCCAGGTTGAAAGTCTGTATGATAGACAAAATAGGTGAGCGTTAACATTAAGACAGTTGACCCGGGTCAAATACTGATATGCTGCCAAAAGTCCACTGTATGGTCACGTGAATACTTTCGCGCAAAATTTGCATTTGCAGTACTATTCAAACCTGGCGCGAGATACGCACAGAAGTATGTTTGTACGATTTTCTCGCCCCGGGTTGATTTCGACTCTCTCCTTGGGGGGGGGGGGGGGGGTGAAATCAATCCGGGGCGAAAATTCAACCCGGGTCAAGCCCAATGCGTCATGTAAACGCGCCATTCATTTTGTTTACATGGCGGATTGAAATCGGTCGAACTCGACCCGGGTTGAGAACTCTCATGTAAACACTCACATCACGTGACGAACCCGTGTACATTATTTGCACCCTTTGCATGATAGATTCATGGCTGTACGCAATCCTGCTTTGGGTTCATCTATCTTGTGGTCACTTTGCACTGTTTGCCAGAGTAACCTTTCGAACCATGTCACGTGATGTGAAGTTCTGCCGTCGCAAAAACTGCATAGAGGCAGTGCAGGCAGTTGCACACTCTTGGGGTTATGTACTCTTGCTTATTACCTATGCCAAGGATGTCCAGTGATAAACGTGATCGTTGACATCTCACTGCGAACCACTTATAGCACCAGAAGACAACATAAGTGAAGTGTCCAGCACAGAATCCACTTTGGTTATTCGATAAAAACCTATTCACAAGACCACTTATTCAACGCAGTACGATCAATGAGAGGACTTGCGTAGTACGGTTGGATACACAATGGGGCAGAAGTTCGAGAAAGATCCCGATGCCTTTCCTGGATGTTGCAAGGTTATCAATGACCCATGGCCAATGCTCCTCATGAGGATCATATTATTATTACTTTTTTAAAAAGGATCAATCGGGGAAGTGAACTGCCTGAAAAGAGAAACAACGCCAGACCCCCGGGACTCGAACCCGCCGGGACCTTGCTTGTCATGAGCAATGCTCTAACCACTGAGCTATGGGACCAGGCAGACCCTAGAAGGCGCAGACAAGTTTTTCAGTCTGTCAGCACTTGTTGGGGAAGTGATTTATTGCATGTCACGTGAGGGTTGCCTGTACTACAGCCAATGAGCGCTCTTGCTCAGTGGTCTGTATTTCTCGGTATTGCCAGCTCAGGCGGGCAATAGCTTTCAGTATATTGCCCGCTGAATCCGATCACTCTGCGCATGCCCGTTCGTCAGTTGAGTCCTTCACATCTCCGGAGCAGGTTGTCATTTTGGTGCGATCGATGGTAGATGGACAACATCGCCATCAGACACCGATCACCAAAAGAAGCAACAGGCTCGAAAAAACGGGGGACTCTACTGGCGACGAGTATGTACAGAATAATCGGATTCAACAGTCAATACGCCAAAAAGCTACTGCCTACCTGCACGGACTTGTCTCTTCTCTCCGAAGTTAGGACCGGCATTGATGATGTGAGTCGGCCTTCGTTGACCAACTGTTCGAAGAGCTCAGGGAGCATCGCAAGCGCAGGCACCTTGAAAACAAACGGGAGGTGAAATAAAACCTACCTTGTAAATAATTGTTTCCAGTCTTGGACGTATCCGGCATCGCACCACAAGAAAAGTAATGGTGAAGAAATTAAAAATCAGTTCTCAAACTTTCAAAGCATCAAACGACGTACATTTCAGAATTTTCTCAACGAACTCCAAGTCCACAGCAGGATCCAGGTCGAAGAGGTGCAAAAAAAGGACTTGCAATGCTGATCTGCACTCTATATAGAACGTGGGTGTCAAGCATGCAATAAATGATTTACAGCACCTCGTACGCGCTCGTACACGTCCAATACCGGCTTGATACATGACCTCAGCCGGTATTGCCCTTGTACTCGCTTGTACTCGGGCTGTAAATCATACGTATGATACAGGAAGCAAGAAGTCATTTTGGCTCTTCCCTCGCGCTGTTGAACACTTTGGAAAGTACCGTAAAGTACCGCCAAAGCGCCCCACCATCTCGTCCTTTCGTGGTCATATTGTGGAGGTGATCTCCTATCTGTAGGTCATACAACACGAACCTTGTACACATATTGCGCGCTGTGCAGTCAATCCGTACTCAATTTACCTTCAAGCGGACACAAGCTCCACACAAAATCAGCAAAGTGTGACTTTAGTATACTAAGGTTCTCACACCGTACAAACTTCGTTGCACTCTGCCATACGATTTTCCTTTCCCTGGCTGTAAAATCAAGATGGGGCGCTCTCGCGAGACGGGGCTTTCTGGCGGTACTTTACGATACATGTATGAGCAACTTGACTTGCAGTGTTGTTGCCAGAACTACTCTGAGGGGCCGTTTACATGAGAAAAATAAGCCCGGGCTTATTCAACCCTAGGCTTACGATACGCCCGCCTTGATCAGTCACCCAAGTCATTTTAGAGCGCGCGTTTACATGGTCAGGCGGGCTTATTCAGCTCGCCCCGAGCTGAACTAGCCCTACCCTTGACCCCCGAGCTTATCCAACCCCCAGGGCTTATTTTGTCATGTAAACGGTCAAGAAGGGCTTATAAGCGAGTTTTTCCGTATTTTTCGATTTTGCCTCGTGAACCTGAGAGAATGCGGCCGTGGACAGCGCGTCTCTTTTATTTATTTCTTGGTATGTTTTCTTCTGTTTTTTTGTCCAGTGGAAGGTCCTAGCCCATCCTTCACCTTCTCGAAAAATAAGTGACAATTGGAAAGGCAGTAGAAACCTGAGCTGGCATTTCTTGATCCAAATTTCATCAAACACGAACATTTACCACTGCGTTCATGTGCGATTTGAAAAATATAATGCGCGCAGAACTCGCAGTCACTCACCTGAACTCAGCCCCGTACAACCGTCATGTAAACGGTTGAAAAATAAGCCCAAGGCGAATAAGCCCGGGCTTATTTTCCTCATGTAAACGGCCCCTAAGAGACAGTGCTCTTATAGTATAGTGTCGACTATCCGCACCACTCGGGGTGCGGACTGTCTCCAGGGGGTTCGGATGAGAAGATTGTTTGGATAAGGGCGCAGTCACACATCAATCTAAAACATACATATTCCCGCATGTTATCATCATTTTTCTTTGTTAATGCGATTAATAGTATAAGTGAAGCGGACATTACAAAATGATGAATGAGAATACATGTATCTAAAATGGTTGTTCCTAATCGATTTTCTTGAGACTATCGTCAGGGGAAATCGTCTCACAATAGAGGCTATACGGAGAAACAAACTACTTATAGGTTATCGGATAGTGGGAAGAATACAAGGTGAGGTGTGAAAAAAAAACTAAGTGGGAGAGAAGACGAAAGAAATTAGACGAAAAGATGTGAGAGTGTTCTGACGGTGTGAGCTACTACAAAAGGTGAGTGAAATGAAGGCGTGGAAGCAGGTGAATGTGATAGAGTGAGGAACTGTGAGGTGTAGGTGTATGCGAATGAATACGTGTGTGAATGCTAGTTGAAGAGTCTCAGTTTTGTGACATTTTCTTTCTGAATGCATAGATTAGGATTGTGTTTACGAATGAAAACAGCTTTTAATACCTTAAGTTCACGAAACCTACGAGCACGACACAAAACAGTGAAGCATGAATCATCATACACTGAGCGGCATTGGCTACTAGACAAGAGGTGTTTCTTAATTGCTGACCCTTTCGTTGTGGTCTCACCTTCAGTCCGGTCATCCTCATCTTGGTTGTCCAACTCACTCTCTTCATCACTGCTCTCACCTTCCTCATCCTCTTCCTCTTCCATCCCGTCCTCTGCACCCAACGACAATCCCACGCTACTGCTCGCTGTTGTTTGACGCCACACCGTCAGAACACTCTCACATATTTTCGTCTAATTTCTTTCGTCTTCTCTCCCACTTAGTTTTTTTTCACACCTCACCTTGTATTCTTCCCACTATCCGATAACCTATAAGTAGTTTGTTTCTCCGTATAGCCTCTATTGTGAGACGATTTTCCCTGATGATAGTCTCAAGAAAATCGATTAGGAACAACCATTTTAGATACATGTATTCTCATTCATCATTTTGTAATGTCCGCTTCACTTATACTATTAATCGCATTAATAAAGTTATTGTCTCCTCGTCGCCTTTTCATTTTTCTTTGTCTTTGGCAGTACAGCAGAGACTAGGCGCACTTCAGCTCCTTACAATGACACTATCGTTGTACATTTTGACTCCAACCTGTTGTAATACATATTGTGCATCGCTTGAATGGTGCTCCGAGTGGGGAAAATCAGCAAAAATCTCGAAAAGCTGCTATGATCCAACCCTATCCGGATAGTCGATCATCCGGATAGTTGACGTCTGGGTAATCGTCTACTGTATTCTTTAAAATCTAGAAGCCCTTCATGTGCCCCAGGTCACCAGTAGAGGCTTGGCTATTCTTATAACTCTTGATCAGGGTCACTATTACAGACTGGGCTATTCATTACGATGTTGTATCTGATGTGGTGTGTTTAGTGGATATGTTTGTGTTTGATATGCCTTACAGTGATGGCAGCGGTGAATGTAGAGAGGATCTATCGGTACGCTAGGGAGGATAAAGTGGAGGAGCTAAAAGCAGAGATACTTGAAGATGGTGTGCTCAAAGAAGAAATCAAATGCCATACTGGTACCAGGGGAGATCCATTGTTGGTATGCAGAACTTTAGAATTGTGCTACAATCTGTCTGCATGGTAAAGTGCTGTCGCATGAGTGTCAGGCTGAGTGTGTGTATGTGTGTGTGTGGGCGTGCGTGCATGCGTGCGTGCGTGCACTGTACATCGACACATTTTCGGCTTATTCAAATTTCGGCCTCCCAGGGCATCATATTTTCAGCCTGTACTGCTGTCGCCTGTATGTACTGTCACACTAAACTTTGCAAAACCAAAATTTCGGCCGCAACAAATTTTCGGCCAAACATGACCAAGCCGAAAATAGCCGAAAATAAATATGTGCTGAATATTTGTAGACTCACAGTACGTGTGTGTGTGAGAAAACGAGAGAGTGTGTGTGTGTGTGTGTGTGTGCGTGCGTGCGTGCGTACATGTATGTGTGTGTGTGTGTGCGTGCGTGCGTGCGTGGGTACGTGCGAAAGGGAGAAAAGAAGGCGTGGGATTATTGTTGAATGCGAAGGCGACGGAGTTGTGGCGACGTGGCGGCGAGCAATGGAAAGCTATCAGTTCGCGCATTGTAACTGCACGGATTCTAGTCGGAGCGAAGGGCTACGAGATACGACAGGGTAGCAATCTCAAGGGGCGGTCTGACTTCTTCGTGACAGTCGTCAGCGCCTACGCTCCAACAACCAAGGCCACGCCGGTAGTCAAGGATCGTTTCTTTTCTGCCACTCATAGCGTATTTCAATGCTCATGTTGGTTCAGCATGCGACCTGATGTTTGGTGATGTTGCGCGTTTCGATGACATGCGTGGCGACGGTGATGGCTGGAGTCGTGTGCGTGACCGGCTTTTGATCATGCACTGAGGCTGGGGAAAACTTTCGCTCGTTTTGTGCGATCCATGATCTGTCCATCATGTCCTGCCTAAAACACAGTCCAACAAGCGGAGGACGCCCTATGCCGTGCATAGGCTGCAGAGCGATCACATCTTAGAGTCGTTTCGTAAGGAGATGGAGAATGCCTGCGAACGGGCTCCTGACATAGATGAGAATAGCAATGTCAAGGAGGCTTGGGACGCTGCATGTACTGATATATTCAAGATTTTGCATCTAGGGTGCTGGGCCACGGCAAACGCAGACAACATTACTGGTTTCTGGAGAGCCAGACAATGTTGGAGCCCTTGGTTGAGGAGAACCAGTTGATACATGAGCGTACGCGTGCAAACAATAGTGCCTCAACGCAAAGGGAATTCCAGGCTGCCCAAAGGTCAGTGAGCCGAGAGGTTTGTCCGGCGAAGGAGAGGTGGATTGCGGAGGTCGCTACCGGCGCAGAAAACGCACAAAAGGATGGTTGCACGCGCTGGAAATCCAACAGGAAACTGCAGGGAGTACATTCTGGGAGACAACCGGTTACCACTTCAGCCGTTTACAATCAAGAAGGTGTTTTAACGTCCAGCCCTGACAGTGTCAGGGATTGCTGGAGTCACCACTTTGCGCAGGTATTCACCATTGTTAGTAATGTTGATATCACTGTGTTACAGAGTATACCTACTGAGGAGCCACGTGTGAGTCTAGATCTCCCTCCAGGTTTCGACGACGTGATGTGTGCAATGCGGAGACTTAACATGGGTACAGCTGCGGGGGAGTCTGGGATTGCTCCAGAGTTCCTTCGCTACGGCGGGGAAGGCTTGCATCAGTGTATATCTAATCTTGTTCGGGCGGTGTGGTTGAGCGGTTCAGTACCTCCTGAATGGCGTGATGCGGAGATTGTCATGATTCCAAAGAAAGGAGACCTCCACTGATGTGACAATTGGCGTGGCATAAGTCTTCTGGACGTTGTTGGGAAGTTTTTTGCTCGTGTCATCCAGGTTCGCCTAATGAATACTGGCAAAGGATATTTTGCCTGAGTCGCAGTGTCGTTTTCGGAAGGGCCGTGGTTGCTTGGACATGTTGTTTGTGGCTCGCCAGCTTTTGGAGAACCCATTGAGCATACGTCCCAGCTGTACGTCCTTTTTGCCGACCTCAGAAAGACGTACCACTCAATTCCCCTTCATGCGTTGTGGCTAGTCTTGGAGAGAGTTGGTGTGCCACAGCATATGCTCGGCTTAATCTGGAGTCTCCACGATGGCCTAGAGGCCAGGATGCACGTTGCTGGAGGGCTAACAGATGCCATCTCAGGCTGTGGCCAATGGTCTCCGGCAGGGCTGTACCCTGGCACCTACTCTGTTCGATATATACTTTGCCACGGTTCTTGCCTCGTGGCGTTCCAGATCGACTGTGCCTGGTGTAACTCTGCGCTACCGCATCGGACGGAAGCTTGTTGGCGATAGGTCAGCCTAATCGAAGCTGCTGGAGACCGAGATAACGGAGTCGCAGTTTTGAGAATGATGCAGCGCTTTACGCACTGTCTCAGTGTGGGGTGGACATCAAGCGAGGGAATTTGTTAGCTGCACTGCGCGTTGGGGCTTGTCCGTGAGCACTTCCAAGACGAAGGTGATGGCCGTGGGTGATAACTCAGCTCAGTGTGGCGCAACTCTGGAGTCTGGTGATGTAATTGATCAGGTGGCCAGTTTAACCTACCTCGGTGGTTCTCTGGACGATAACAGTTCACTGGATGGCGAGGTAGCAGTGCAGCTGGCTAGGGCGTCACGTGTTTTTGGCTCCTTGCAGATGCCCATTTTTCAATACAAGCCCCTATCCATATGCACGAAAAGACTGGTGTATACGGCCATTGTGCTCAGCACTCTGTTTTACGGTGCCGAGACCTGGGCACTGAAGGCGACACACCTGCGGCGGCCGAACGTCTTCCATCACGGGTGCAGTCGTGCCATCCTTGGTGTATCCCGCTCCACACAGTGGCAGGACAGGCTTACCAGCGAGGAGATTGCAAAGCGAGGCAGACTCCCAGCAGACATCGGTGAGCTTCAGCTATGCCATCGTCTTCGCTGGCTTGGCCACATTGCCAGTATGGATTCCCGCCGGCTCCCCAAGCAGGTTCTCTTCGGGGAACTTCCTTCACGGGGCCCCAGTAATGGCCTCAGGAAGAGATGGTGTGAAGTGGCTAGATCTGACCTGGCCATGGCGGGGATCCCGGAAAGTGACTGGTGTGATGTGGCACAAGACAGGAGGGGAGAGTCCAGGAAGTTGTCTCGTCGTCCTCCGCCAGGGTCAGCGAAGAGTTTTCAGTGCATGTGTGGAGGAACATTTTGCCGGGCGCGTGACTTGAAGCGTCACTCCCCATATTGCTCAGCTCGCACGCTATCATCGCACTAGCGATGGGCGTTCAAGGACCAAGGTGTGTGCGTGAGTACGTGTGTGTGTGGTTGTGTGTGTATGTGTGGGTTTTGGAAGTATTGTACATTTGTAAGCTGTTCCTTGAGCTGTTTGTACAAAATGAGAATATGTTGTCTTTGCAGTTACATGTTGCTAGTCCTCATGAGTGTGTTATTAGTACCATGTGACGTGTTCTCCTGCCTTCTTTCTTTTTCACCCACTGAGTAAATGTGAAATGCTAGATTTAATATCTTACAAACTCGTTGCCTTTATATTTGTAGTCTTTGAATTCTTTCATCATTCCCTGTATAGCCCTGCGAGAATGGAATGAAAATGTTCTCCAGTTTCGCTCTGTCCTTCTGCCTGGTTCTGCAGCGTCGGTGCATGCATGGATTGACATGAGGAAATGTGCATCGTTTAGATTATGTGTGACTGCTCCCTTATCCGACCATTCTCCTTATTCGAACCCCCTGGAAACAGCCTGCACATCAAGGGATGTGAGTAGTCGGCACTTTACTACAGTAAAACATGTAATGGCGACCACTCGGATATGACGACCACTCGACCATGGCGACCACTTTTCCTTGTCATGGACGTGTGATGTATGTGTACAATATCTGTATCAGGTCACGTGTGGAGATTGCCTTGGGGGAATCTCTACCGTATCTGTTCTAGAGTTTTTGGTGATGACGGATCATTGTTCTTTTAGTTTACTAAGTAGTCTTGGTGACAACTCAAGTTTCATCTCTCCAATGTCGTTTGTTTATGTGAGCTCGAACGAACATAACAGGACGCATTCACATTCAAAACAGCTCGGTAAGGCGACCACTCGCTCAATGCGACGGACGACCATCCACTCGCGACCATGTTGCACCCTGCTAGTACATGCATATGTATACAGAGTGCACCATGCATGGTAGATCTACACATCAGTGCAGGAAGTGTAGATGTACATTAACATGGTGCATGCATGACCCTCGACAGGTCTGAGGACCCCAGGCACATGACTCATGACTCATGAGTCATGAGTCATGTGTCATGGTAGCCTAAACTAAAGTGGCATAGGTGGGTGCACTGTGATACACTGAGCAAAATAATATAATACGTCAATTGACATAATACATGTGATATTATCACATGTATTATGTCAATTGACGTGGAAATGGTCCCGTGACCCACTGAACCTGGATAAGAAGACCACCTGGCCACGGCAACCACTTTTTCTCGCCCCTTGAGGGGTCAACTTAGACAGATTTCACTGTATATTTATTATAGTCATTTGCTATTTGGCATGCTGAATTGTTTCATGGCGAGGTATTCTTTTCGTTAGTACTTAAAAGACTAGTTGTTTAGTGCTCTCTGCTCTGTTGTTTGTTATTAACTTTAGTGCACTGTGTTCTACTGTGCTGTGTTATGTTTTCTTGCAGGCAAGGTTACTGAAGGATGCCTGTAGCCACAATGCTACTTCTGTTGTCAAGTTCTTGGCAAGCACTGTTGACAAGCACATGCTGAACCATCTAGGGTATTACAGTTTCACTCTTTCTACGGGAGTACTGGTAAGTGTACTATAAGTGTGAGTGTAACGGACCATCGTTTAGAAGAACACTGCGAAGCGAAGGACTAAAGGGACCGTCACTTAATTTTGTGCCGACTACCCACCAAAAAACCTTTTCGTTTCACGTGTCAGACACGTCCGCGTACGGCTCGCTACCTTTCACGTCAAGCAATCTGTTCACGCCACATGGCTGGATCCATGGATAGTGAGTACATGCAAACATGATTGAAGACTTGCAAAATTAATCTTTACAAGTCCAGGTGCTAGGCCAAGGCGAGCTGCTATGCCTGTTTCAGCCAATCAGGAGCCTCGCTGACCGGGAAATAATAGCCAATACAATCCCGCGCGGGATGATATTCATTATTAACTGGGTTCACTTTTACCGTACCTACGGTGCACCCTGCATTGGCATGCCCCCACCCCCTCTCGATTCGATGCAATGCATCTTGCCACTGGAGTCCTTTCAATCAGAAACCCAGCGACAAAATATACTACACAGAACCGTGAGAGGGTGGGAGTATGCCAATGCAGAGTGTACCGTCGGTACAGTAAAAGTAAACGGAGAGAACTTACCTACGCGACTAAGTCCAAAACCAAATTCCACACAAACAAACAACGAACTCCAATCATTACGGAGGATTAGCAAGACGAAATTCGTGTTCGCATTCGCAAACATTTTTCAGTTCGCGAACTGGATTGCGTACTTTCGCATTTTTCGTTCGGAAAAGTAGTCGGAACACGAATCGCGGATTCGTGTCAGGGCAGTCATAAATTTACCACGCTGTACTGTCTGTACGCAATGTACGTCGTGTCAACGTCATGCATGTGCGAATTCTGTTTGCTAATCCTTCTCATAACGCGAATTCCGTCACTGAGTTCGACTTTCCTTGGAGAGCGAACGCGAACGCGAATTTCGTCTTGCTAATCCTCCGTATTATTCAACTCAACACTACGACACAAAGGAGACTTCGAAGTGCATCTGTTCTAATTCACTCTTTTTAAACTCGAAAACTACACAAAGTATCACCATCCGAGTGAATATTACTAATTGCAAGGAGAGATACCGTAACAACACGAAAAGTACAAGACGTGAAAGTGAGAGGAAAAATCGTGTACAGAATATTCAACAGTGTGAAAGAAGAAGAGCTCAGCAATCCATGTGTGATGTAGTTAAGATATGGATGCAAGATGTGACCTGCAGTGATTATCATGACACTGTATCCAGTACGATTACCACAAGAACAATCTAAAACGTAGATGCTGCTACACATCCAGTATGCCTATAATAATTATAACAAGATCAACGTTTTAGAGCGGGGACGAAACGTACGTCGCAATCGAGCTATGTCGTTGCTGTGTCATCATCTTTGTGCCATGCGCTACTTGATGTACCAGCCTGCTATGCCGGATACCGCCAGCCATGCATCGACCAGGCGCCAGGCGCGAACTGATGGTGGTGGTGGTGAGAAGGAGAGCTCTGTGCCAGAACTTTGCAGCCTAGAGAGCGTGTGTGGGCAGGCGTGTGTTTACCGCCATATTGCCAGGTGTGTCTTTACCACCATATTTATCAACCATAAGATCAACGTTCTTCTGATTGCATAGTGGCCGTTATAGTGATACAACGAAGAGTCTTGATACAACGAAATGCACTTTACTCACTGGTGCCAATGTCCGGCAATATGTACAATGTGGTTACTGCCTGCACGGACCACTGCGGACAGTGTTCAGCAAAGATCACAAACCGTTGAAAGTTCCACGCCGATCCAATGACAAGGAAGTCAGCACCAGCCTCCATACTGGCATACATAATGACGTGGTATCTCGCCGTGACTTTGAAGTATGGCCCTTACTTTGAACCAAATGACTATGTATCATAACAGTGCAATCTTCGTCCATTCTCTAGTCCAACTACTAAAATGCAACTTGTCTCCCGAGCTCCATCGCTCTCAAACCTTGACTGGATTGAAAAGAAAGGCAGCACCTTGTTTTTGGTATAGCTGTACCCTGGTAATTGTATTCAGAACGCAGTTGCGTCGATCCCCAAAATGCGTAGATGTACCTGGGATAAGTAGGATATTGACCCGCGTACTCGGGTTTTACCGTACCCTCATATCATCCCTCCTGCTACGCAGTCGGGATGATATTCGGGAGGTAACACCCTCGTACTTGGGTATTATCCTCTACGTATCTTTCTTGGCTCGATATGAGTTCGTTTATAGCTGTAGCCACCCTGTCCACGCCGGCAGGGGTTCGTATGGGTTCATGACCTTTACGTTTCTGGCGTTTGTACATTTCTGTTGTACCAGCGCTGCTGCTAATTTTTTTTATTTTTTTTTAAAAGCCTCTTGCACGGGCAAAATAACACATTTTGTGAAGAATCAACACTTAAAACGAATCATCAGATACAGTATTTACAGAGTCTGTCACTCAGTAGGATCACTGCACTGTGCAGGTTCACTGGATGCGTGCCTCCGCCGCCACTAGCACAGCAGGGGACTCAGGCACAGCAGGAGCAAACATGCTCCTTGAGCCACGCAGGCACATAGCACCACAACGCACCAGGGCAAAACCAAGGCGGCAGCGCAGCAAGGAGATAATCTGCCCGTATGGCTCCTTACTCTAATTTGTCGTAGGTTGCGCACATGGCCCTGCATGTGCCGTACGCGCGGCTCCTTCTTTGCTTTTTTTTGCTGTTTATCCCTGCTTGGGGGAATGGTCGAGAGAGAGAGAAACAAAGTGAAATGGAGTTTGTCGTAGAACTACTAGAAATAGCATAAGCGTGACTCCGCAACACAGTTCTTATTCGGAACATGCTTGAACACCATCCCAAGTCTGCTGATAATCCGCAGAAGTCCAGAACAGGAGGGAGGGTGGCTACAACTATACCTGGAGTACGAGTCTGTGCATCCCACAGGGGATATGACACAGACACAACATTCTAACACCACACATTTCATCTCGTACACGATTTAGAGGTAGTCCATCATTGTTCTGCTGCACCTCTGTGAAATTTGAGCTCTGTGGGAAAGTGGCAGCATACGCGTCAGTGTGCCATGATTCCAGCACTGAGCGCAAAGAGTTCTTACCTCATCAATCACAACTTGACACAAGTACTTAGTTCAGCTCTTGCCCCATCCTAGGGTTTTGGTGTTCCTCGCGGAGTCCAGGGCGGCAGACCATGTCACTACAGTCCATTTCAAAACTATAGACGCGTAGTGTTTTGCAAAATTCGATGGGATTTATTTAAATATTTTTTAGTTTTTTCTCCAGATTCCGTCTCTGCATCGCTTCACAATTCTGGCTATATAGGCTTTGTTTTCGCTTCAATTGAAGTTTATTTTTAGGCCAGGTTTTCCGGTTTTACATGTTATTTCTGTTTTGAAGGGTTTGACCAGTTTGTTTTAAGGGTTTGACCAGTTTGTTTCGGATTTTTGCTCCTGCTGAGACAGTGCTGCGCCCAGACTATCGCGGGTGCATTTTTGTACGGGTCCTGGTAGCCCCATGGTTTCGATCCGTGATTTCCAGTACAAGTGTGGGGCATTCGAATCCCATCACGCCTCCTGCCATTTTTTCTCTTCTTTTCTGCTTGTTTTGGATCTTGTTGTTGGGTGAAATACAGTAGGGATGATAATTATATTTCTCTTTTTGATTTGATTTGAGCCTCCCTGTTCCCTTCGCCTGACACAACGAGTGACAATGGTTTCACTCACGCCAGTTGCAAGGTGAGTTCGACGACGAGGATTTCGGATACTCGAGCGTCAATCAAAATCCAGCTCTTGTTCGAAGAAACAATGAACACGACTAATCATATCTTTCTCGGCATCACTGAGATTCTTACGGGCCTTGGAAGCCATTACAGTCAGGCACTCAGAAAATGCAAACAAGAAGAAGACTCATTTGAGACTTTCATTTCTTTTGAGACTTTCCTCACACCTTTTCATTTGCGATTTTTCGTGTTTTGCATCTTTTGTATTTCCCGCGGCGACGAAGAAAAACCTGAAAACACATCTGAAAACCAGAAAACACTCATGCAAAACTCACGGCTGTTGTGCGCTACAGTACGTACGACTCGTACGTATGAGTTCACGCGTCTATAGTTTTGAAATGGACTGTAGTGGCAGCGCTCTTTCGTCCGTGCTCGAGTTGATCCAGGACTTTTCAGTTCAACTGCTTCTGTTGCCGTCGCCTCACTAGTTTCTACTCATTGAGTATTTCCCCCCAGCGGAGCTGTACTAAAATCAAAAGGGCCCTACGAGGATTTCCAGATGTCAGAAAGTACTTTCACCAGCACACATCTCCTTTGGCGGAGCGCCTAAATCAAGTTGAATTTTTCGTCACGAAATAGGAATTGGGCGTCGACAAAAACATCTTGTGAGGACTGTCGTCGTGCTCTACCAGACGCGACGATTCCTACCTAGGAAGTCCAATGACATCTGGCAGAGATGGACGGCAGTTGGCCATCGTGAGCGAACGCTGCTACTACACTTGTAGGACAGTCAAAAGCTTTCGTTGTCACCATGAACTAATTTTTGTTTGGATGTGCACAGCAAAGCAAGAGTTTTTTTGCCGTGGCAGAAAATGATTTTTTCTGCAAGAAATGATTTTCACCTGAAGGTCGATTCTCGCTGATACTGGGCCATATATTACCACATGGCACGTGATTGTTGCCCAAACTCCAGCGAATCAGCACCACTCCCGCCACGGGCAATAATATGCGATATTGCCCGCAAAAAAATAGTTTATTTGCCCGCAATACGACTTTGGTAACGGTTTTGCAGACGGAACTGTCATCATGGCATGGACCCTCCACCAGCCGCTAGATGCTGACGCAGTCCGCACGCTGGCAGCGGACCGACGTGCATGGCGTGGAGCCCGCGCCACCTAACAAGACTGATCCTCGTGATCCACGTGATTCCGCCAGACATGTTGTATGCATACTCTATTTTATTTTATACTTTGGAATGAGTTTGGATGAAGTTTTCCATTAGTCCTGTTGGTGTT